ACGCCGCCGAACTGCAGAATTACTCACGCGATGATACCATCAGACGCAAGCAATCCATCGGAGGCAGCGATGATCGAATACGCAGAACCGCCTCAGCTCTGATAGGCCAGGTTTCACAGGCGTAGAGCAAGACAGCCCGCACCGAAGCATTGTATACCCGACCTCTGACATCCAGGCTAACGTCGCGACGGCACCAGAGGTGGCTCAAGTTAGCGTATGCCACACTAGTCTTCATGATACGGTTGAAAATCTCATCCATCACCCCTCCGCCAGCACTCACACAACTACCCAGATATACAAACTTATCAGCAACTTCAAGTGATTCACCTGCAAGAGTGAGTGCAGGTACAGGCTCCTGCCAATCTTGTAACAGTACTTTACACTTAGACGGCGCCGCGTTCCAACCAATCATATCTTTTTTTATGAGTTCGTGTTTTATATATAGCTGAAGCCATAAGAATCCACCTGAAAAAGTCTAACTTATGCGTTTAGAAGTTCATTCAGTCTTGGCCATCATTAATGGTTGTATAAATCTGACAACTTCCCCTTCGCTCTAAGCCTTTTACAAGTTATCATTGTTTTGACCACCTTTAATTGTCACATTAATTTTCTTTTTAATTTTATCTGATATTCAGTTTTTATACATATTATCACTTACTGAACTGTTATTTTATTGATAACAACAACTCAACAGTATTTAAATCCAGGAACATAGAAGTGTGAAAGACTTAATAGACTGTATCCTCCATTGAACTACATTCTGTTAAACGAAATGAGTATCCACAACCTGTCACCTGTATTTGTTATGTAGTTCCATTTGCAAGATCGAAAAGGTCAAAAGCAAAGTGAAAATGTTAGTGAAACTAATAATAACATAAACAAAAAAGAACATAAGGCATCTATAGTTTTGCCACATAAGGAGGGGATATCTGAGACCGTACGTAGGATTCTGAATAAAGCAGGAATTAGAGTGGTATTTAAATCTACGAACTCATTCGGGAACAAGCTGTGTAGGCTAAAGGACCTGATGGACCCATTTAGACAAAATAGTATAATTTACAAAATACCTTGCAATGACTGAGGTCAACTAGTCAAACTAGTAGGTCGGCGGTGGTCAAATTGTCGGAATTTAGCTAAGCGCAGAATAAGTGACCCCGCGAAGATAAGTAATTTAGAAAAAAAACTCAACGATCGCACTGCATACATTGACACACAATAGGAGGGGACAGAGTTAAAATTCTAAAAAGTAATATAGGCAGGTGGAGAGAGAAATTGAATACTGAATCCTGGTTCGTAGAATCTACACCCAACACATGCAATAGAAGTGACTCAACGCAAATACCAGAGATATGGAAGATATTATTACCAATAAAATCAAAGGATAAGAAGTAATGTTAAATTTTGTTTTATTTCAATTCACGTTACAACACTCTAACACATTAATTTTATTTTACTAACAAAACATGTTAACACCCATTTTATTGATTAACAACAGTCGTCTTATTTCCCATCGTATTATATTTTATTGATAACATTATTATTATTTGCAAATGTACTCTATCTTCCTTTATGTTTCACACATGTCTATCGAACTTCGTATTGATTGATTTATTCATTCATAAGTCTAATCAATTTTTAATACATGTACATAAAAGAAATCTGAAAGTTGTGTGAGTACCTTGATATGATTATGAGCAATCAATTATGCTAGAAACGTCATCAGTATATATTAGTGTATAACACTGTGAGGCTTTACCAGAATAAAATTTTCTCCATAATCGAACTACACTCTACCACAGTACCCAAGTTCTATTCTTATATTTGTTATGTAGTGTTTAGTTCCTTCTGTCTAAAATTCCTCGATTTCTGGGACAATAAATATCACCATTCAAGTTCTCAATGGTTCTGTCTTTGTTATCGTGCTATGAACATTTAATTCAATGTTGAAAAGTGCTTTTCAAACAAGCTCCTAATAATTTCGTCCAAACAGAGCCATGTAAAAGCTCTATAATTGATGATCACTCATTTTGACTCTTTTCAGCATAACTTATTAGTGACCGTGCTCATTATTTTATTTCCATATAGTCATATTGGTCAGAAAGCAATGTAGGTTGAGGATGAAGCATAGAAGTATGCTGCTTCCAACAACCTCCACCAGGCACACACCTATTCATCTTACAATGATATATTACCTAACACCGCGTCACATACTTCGTAAAGTATTATCTGGAATGATGTGAACTTGTACATTTCTGTTTTGCACGAAAAGAGATAAGTGGTAAGTTAGCACACCAATGTTTACCACTATTTCAAAAATTCACACTAAAATATCTTTGTGAACATCTTTAGAAGGATAATTAGCTCACATTATATATAGTAGATTTCAAAAGCTCCATAGGTTTTTAGTGATATTCAACCTGGCCTACGCACTCCTCACTTAGCCGGGAATAAACCCGTAGCGAGCGTAGATTGGACGTGCGGCTAACAAAACCACTCCATGAAAAAAAACCATCGCTATTGGAACTTCAAATCTCAAGCCTGAAGTCTTATGAACCACTTGGAACACACAGTAAAAGCTTAAAACCTTGTATTAAAAGGTAACTAACTGACTTAACAACCCAAGACTTAACACAGAACTGCTTCATATACAGTTGCTCCACTTCAGAAAAAGTAGACAAGAGACGTAATGAAACTGTAACGGCAGACATTGAGTTTTTCTCATTGTAAACTATTTCGATCACGTCATAAAAGGTTCCCAACCATCGGTTTTCGAGGTCTCCTGTCAGACAGTCTATAGTTTTTTGTATGATCCAGTCTAACAGTTAATAACTTCACGGACTGACATCATGCTTTAGTCTTTTCGAACTTAATTAACGAGACTTTTATGTGGTACAAGTTAATCCATAGACATTATGTTCAACCAGAGTCGCATCTACGAGGACAGTCAATAAGAACGACGACAGGGGGCATCCGTGAGAAACACCGATAGTTGTTATCATTTCGATCAGTATCATAGTAGTTATAATGGTCTTTGCGATTGTCACAGGGAGATTAGTTTCCTTTCCTAAATACCGAAATGAACAAGTATCTATGGTCCTATCACGAACTTTCATAAACTAAATAACAACTTATTACTGTAGTCTTTAGACACCACCAAAGTCAAACCATCAGGTCCTACTGCTTTAACCCAAATTAATTGAGACAGAGCTTTTGCAGTCACTGCTACTGTTGGAGAACTTGGGGTTGAACGGTGGGCAACTGTGATACAGCTGTAAACCAGACGAACTACTCCACGAGGTGTTATGTACGACGTTCTACACATCTCTCCCATGAGGCTATCAAGGTTTCGTCCTCCTCGGCGAGCGTTTCACATTCCATAGTCTTTGTAAAGACCTATTCCCTTATTAAGTTTGAATTGTTGACGAGAACCGTGCTGAAGCCTTTTCTATTTATTTCGCTTTAGTCACTCACCACCATTCACAATTGTTAAGACTTTTAGTCAGCCTACATCTAAACAGCTTCCCCCAATACACACCAGCAATACAACGAAAACTAACTAAACAATGTTCTGACACCTGCGAGTTGAGTGTTTTGGTTCAGAAGGGAGTAAATAATTAACAGGACTTGCTTTAGGTGATACATATATTTGAAGCCCAAAATGCTAGAGTTTCGGCTGGTGGGGCCTGATGTTCAGATTGACAAAAGCTCCGTTCACTGAAAGCCCCAATATAAGGCTGATAGTGCGATTTAGAAAGGCCATGTACGATGTCTCTCCAGCTTAGTTTCCTAGCAATAATTACAGATAAGATTAGCTAAACAGACCATCTCAGAGACTATTAGAAGCTGGGGGAAGGCAAGATGAATGGAGTAGACGATAAGTGAAAATTCGTGAACATGGAGAGAGAGGGGAATAATTGATTTTGCATGGCTGTCAAGCCCACAGGAAAATTGCTCGGTAACGTTCAAACTTAGTGTGTCTTGGGGTGGAGTTTATAGTTTTGTCCCCCCAGGAGAAGCATTGCAGCGGGCCATGGACCACTGTAGTGTAAGTTGGGATGTACAATTTTGCAGTGCGACTTTTACCAACCTCAGAAAAACGAAGGTGACATAGATGAACTACTGGTCACTAGAAGAAAACGCCACACTACTGCTACATCCCTGATTGTCAGAAGTACTATATTGGCCTCAGATATTTACCATATTGTAAACAACTCACATTGACGGTAAACGTTTTAGCCTAACTACAATATCTTTTACTGAGTGAACAAACTTTTTGCCTTACCAAAAGTCTTTACTGGATGCAAATAGCTTACTATCATCAATAAAAAAACGTAATTCATATCAGTTTGCGATCCTTTCAGTCTTATTCGCAAGCATGCTTACAGAAGAAATCGTTCTCTAAAGTACATAAGATTAACTTGCCAAAAGAATGAACACTTCAAAATTTTATAAACTAACATAATAGATGAAAAAATTCAAACTCCACATCGAAAGTTGTACGAATAAATATTTAAGAAAGGTAATATGCTCCATTTTTAAACTATTATTTACATAACAATTGGGTGCATAAACCATAGAATCCATAAAACCTATGATGTACAGCAGAAAGACTTGATAAAATCCAAATTTCAAGAACCCTAACGTGATGAAGATTCAAATGCTCTACTAAAACCATGAAAGTTATTCTTCGGTGTTATGTTTTTTAGGAAGTAATAAGCTTGGAAAATCCTAAGAACTACAACATACAACTCCTACAAATAAAAAACCAAACTAAAAAGTAACAGGTTAAATTAAATCTTGTCAAAGACTTAAAGTAACAAAAATAAATTTCCGCAGGTAAAATGGAAGTACATAGAAATGAGTCTGTACAATGTGAAATAAAAGAAATAAAATTCAGAAACAAAAGATTGCACTTATTTATTTCTGTACATTTTAAACCTGAATAATCACAGAAGACTGAACAAATCGAAAAACGCTCATAAACCAGATTCTTGGGACTTTCAATCACTGCCATTTCGCCTTAAACTAAGTTGTACAATCTCAGCATCATCTGGCTGACCAGTTGTACAACTGATAGGACTGGGTGTCTTAAGACGTCCAAACTGTTTCAATGGCCATACACGGAGTAGTACTTTGTATTCCAAGTGAGATATAGGTACAGGTCCATAAGACCGAGAATCCAATGAACGTGAAGTATTATCACCTTCTAACCAGACATGACCCACAGGTACCTGAGAAATGAGCAAATGACAACAAGAAATACATATACTTTTACACAAATGCAAACACGCAACTGCGAACCTACAAACACATCCGTACACAACACTTCAAAATGCAACTATTGTTTGAACTCCTGGTAGTTAATTTTACAGCCAGGCCGGAAACTGGGTGAGAAAAGTAAAACGCATATAAGTAAGAGGAGCTTATCACTAACTGTGGTCGGGATCAATTTTGAACCATCACGCGAAATAGGTTTGTTAATCAGGAGCACTCCAGAAAATAAATCGCATCCTACTATGAACGCTAGCAGAAAGGATTTTATAAGTTTTTGGTTCAACATAACTTGACATTGTTTTAGTTCTTTCTTTAAAAATTTATTTAGATACGTCTAAATTCCCAATTGATATTAGTATAAAACTTGGGCACTGTGGTAGAGCATAACTCCATTGTGGATAATGAGATATCAAGTTACCTTGATATGAATATGAGCAACAGTTTGTGCTCGAAACGTCATCAGTAAATATAACTGTACAACACTGTGTGATTTGTCAAAATAAAATCTTATCCATAATGGAGTTAAATTCCCAATTTGTGGTAGTCTTGCTGCAGAGGTCGAAAACACCGAAAACCTGAAATGATGACTTTCTTGGACAGTTAACAGAATAATAAGCCGCTAAGCGGCAAAAGAGGAACGATAGTTCGATAAATCTTGATAAGTAATATCTATCCTATGACGTTATTGACAGACAAATAAAACTAATAATGCATGAACTCAAACATCTAGTGTAACCACATGATTTGGGAAAGAGACAGTACCTGTTTCGCAATGAATTCCCACCGACTTGTGTCCCAGAATGTAATTTGATCGTCCTCCAGTCCTTTAATTCGCTTCAAAACATGTGAAGTATTATACTTCCGCGGCTGTCCAGCAATTACAACATCGCCCCTATGAAGATAAAAACTTTCCTTTCATATACCTTTTAATGCGTCCTGAAATAATTGATAATCTTTCTACAATCAAATAATCCCCATCGTTAACAGTCGGCTGCATACTAATTCCTTCACACTACAAATGATATATGTGCTTCACAAACATACATAAACTATCGTGCCGATCAAAGAGTGGTATTTATATGTTATTACACCAGTAGTTAAAACCAGAATACTTCGGGCTAAAGTCCTCGGTACCTTTTTGAACATCAGAACAAAAGACAACAAAACGTCCTTCAAATCTCGAATTCAGCAAGGACGTTTGCACCACATTCAATATCTAACTTCAGGCAGAAATTAAACGCCATGTACAAGGTCATTGATGGAGTGAGACGCTCAAAGGTCATTTTCGTCCATGTTAGTCGGCCATGTTGGATTGCAGTTCCGTTGCTGTTCGTTTACACATCGAATTTTCCGTTTATCCAGCAGTTATTCACAACTTATCTTGATGCACATTGTTCACAAATGTTGCGTTTCACCTCATTTTTGTTTCCGTTTCTGTTGAATTTAGTTATTTCGTTTGTTTCGAAAGTTTTTGCCACCAGGTCAGTGCATTCGTTTCATTGTAATTGTTTCATACGTTGCATTCATGCATGGTTTCAGTGTTTTAATTGTTTTTCAGCTATTAATGAATTAGTACTGTGTATAAATCTTGGAGATTATACACGTGAACATGTTTGAGAAGCAGAAGCCATTGTTTCCAGTTCATTTTTGGTTGCTGTTATTGCTGCTGGCTCAGTTGGTTACTTAATATGTAGGAATCTGGAAAAAAATGTCTCTCACGTTCATGTTTACAGCATGCAACAATCTGCGAATGAATCCGGTGAAGAAAGCACCATCAGGGTTGATATTAGCAAAGTTTTCGAAGAATAAATTAAACCCAGAGAATTTAGAACCTGGTTTGAAGTTTAAAATGCTTTGGATCTTTTCGACAAGGTGTCTGTTGTCAGCTAAAAAATCAGGTATATTGTGAGAGAATCAAGCAAGGGTGAGCCACATGTGAAGTATGAATGTGTGGTGTTTGTATGTACTTTTGGAAGCAAAATTAGGAAGCAATAGGAAATCCCTAAATGATTGTTAATGCCTAGTGTACTAGATCCAAACGCACGAACTAGGACTGCCTGTAGTAAACGCGGTGTTTTATTTGTTTCAAAAGGATTTGAAAAGCGGCTAACGTCCGATGATCTGGTGAGTGTTCGGTAAGAATTTAACTAGCAAGAATAACGTTTCGAATTTACAACCGTCTGAGAAGCTGATTATTAATCGGGGTGAAAAAATTGGCTGGTTACAAATTGCTTGTTTCAGTTCAAATAATGAAATTCCTATTTTTCGGATGCTTGTGATTTCTCCGTGGTTATAAACACGGTTGCCCATGATTTATAAGGAAACTTTAAATAAATTTTCTTTGAACCAGTGGTCTTCTTTTTCTTGGCGAAGCATCTATTGAGACGATTAGGTAGCAAAGTAGAATGTTTTGTGATTGAGAATCGTAGTCGTTGAGTTTCGGATTTATATCGCGCATCTAATTGCTATAACCCTATGAATAAAGCTTTTTCCTCATGGTGCATTATGATGTCTTGAAACCATAAGCACACTGCCTTCGATAAATTTGTTTTTACTTTTTAAATGACAGCAAATAGTGAGTCATTTGAGGCGATAGGATAAATACCTCTTAACGCTTTCGTGAAGAGATGAGGATATGTTTATCTTTTCAACTAGGAGACGATCTTTTTACCCAGAAAGCTCTTAGGATGTCCGCTTTTACTTTGTAGTTCAAAGATAACGTTGAGTTGCTCAATTAGGTAGTAGCAAGGGGGTAGCTTTAGGTAATGCGTCATAGAAGTAAGCAGTGTATGTCTATTGTGTCTAAATATATTAAACGTTGTAAAGCCGGTCAAATCGTAGTTCTCAAATATGAGTTAGTTTTTTAAATAATGAGTGTACCGTGCTAGCGTTTGTGCTCGAAACGTCATCAGTTAGTATAACTGTGCAACACTGTCTGATTTATCAAAATAAAATCTTATCCATAATGGAGTTATACTCTACCACAGTGCCCAAGTTTTATACTTATATCAGCGTTTGCCTTGGTTTGCATACCTAGCTCACGTATGCGTGTGATATACATTTAAGGCTAATACGCTGTTTGATGAATTAGTCCGAGATACTTAAAGTCAGACTTGATCTCTATATCACTGTCATCAACTTTGCAACGGTCATAGGAATTAACAGCTTCACCTGACTTTCTCTTACATCGGAAACTGAAATTGACAGTCTGACATTTGGAAGGATTTAGTTTAAAAGCATTTTCTGACTACTAATAGAGAGCTGTTCATCTTAGTACAGTGTAGATGCGAATTAAAAGACACCGGAATAGTTAGTCCGCGCACTTGACATATTTCATTTCGTATGCGTATGTACATTAAGTTCGTCAAACAAAAATACAATTGGTACTGGACGACTATAATGGAGATGTTGTGATGCAAGACTGCAACTGCATCTAAATTACTTCTACTGTGTTTATAGGCGAATTATTTGAGTTCGTTAAAGGCTTTAAGTGAAGGTTGAAGATTAAGTAAGAGTAACTTTTCCACAGCTTTTACAAAAGGGGAGGTAATAGCAATAGGTCAAAACTTAAAACATGTTCCATTAGACGACTTAGGTACAGGTACAATTTTGAAGTCCTTCCAAACGGCTGGCACAACATTTCTGGAAAAAGATTCATTAAATATGTGAGAGGATATCTGTACATTTTTGAAGAATAAGGCTAGGCAAACAATCTGGAACTACAAGAAGGGTTCAACGACTGGTGATATTTTAGAACGTCATTTAATAATAATAATGATTTACTTTATTCCAAAAACAGTACTTGTGATACAGAATGGAAATTTCAGCCTTAATCACAAAATTGCATCTAATTTCCTCAATTATAAATGAAATTAATCACAGAAAATTTTTCTACATTTACAATAGGGTTAATATAAAAAAATAAAAAACATGCAGCATATAAAATGGAAATAATAATAATGATAGCAGCTAAGGTAATGATAATAATACAAGTGGAAATTGCCGTGGGCTTGTTTCACACAGTACTGTCGATGCGGTATACAAATCCTTGCATGATTAAAAATATTGAATATGGTGTTCTCTTTACATGATATGGTGAGGGGAAAAACAAAGATTACAGCAGTCATAGAGATAAGTTGGTGTTTGCAGTTATCAAAGTGAAAACAGAATCAACAGGACCATAAATATAATAGAAATAATAAAAGTAAAACTTGAAGGTATATAAAGATGGATGGAGGAGATTGTTTATTCTGAAATAATAGAGAAGATTTGTAGCTCAGGTGGATGATTTGCAATTAAAAGTGTTCTCTGAAGAAGAAGAAATTTAAATCATTTCACTCTGTGCTAAATATGGCGCTGAAGATGTTGTCCGGAAGGACGACGAAAGCTTCGCGACTAAACCAACCAGCTCAGAGAACACTTTTAATTGCAGATTGTTTATTTACTAGATGAAAAAAAGGTTTGTATTGAAACCAAGGAAGCAACTCTCATTAACACTTGTGACACCAGAAACCTTGGTATTTGTGGGAGAATGTATGAATGCCTTGTTTACCGTACACACATCAAATGAATAGGATATACTGTTGTATTACTGGAGGTAATCAGATGCATAAATGCGTAAGTTATTTAATATTCATAAAGTGGATATGCAAACACCGCAGTTGTTGATTATAGAAATGAAGGATATTAGATAACATCACATGATTCAACGGCATATTAGAAATAGATGAAAATTGTTTCTTTGCTCACTGTCGAGTGAACAGTCTATTTGACGATGTCACTGCATATTAACAGATTAGTAAAGTAGCTGTCAGGCCTAAGTCATTAAATTTACTTGTACTTCATACTTGGCGTTTAACAGTGTACAGAATTGCAACTGGCTAGATAAGGCGATTTTAGCGTATCGAACAGTACAGAATTATTATTTAAATTGCTAAATCTTACTTAGTTTTTACAATGTGCTACTGTATAGAAACAGACACGAAATCTTACGAAGGGCTAAGGTAACAGTCTCATAATACTATAGTAAATCTCCATCCCTCTAACTAAGCTTAACATGCATTGATCCGAATTCACTTATTACAAAAGCACATAGTATAGCGACGCACTGAAAAAGTCTAGAGGAAGTAGAATTGAAGAGTATATTAAACATTTCATTAATTTACAAAAGAAAATCCCGATGAAGAGTATTAACGTTAGTTTGTCCGGATGATATTTCCGCTGGTTTCATATTCGACAACTTCCGTATACCTGAAAAAAATAAAGCACATGTAAGGACTAGCACAACATGAAGTTATGAAAGATAATTCTACATATTAGCACACACTGAATACACTGATTCGGTTAATACTAAGTAATATCTCATGCAAATAAATGTATATGTAGTTTTCAGCTGGTTTTTATATTGGCACTATAAGCATCAATAGACCTCAAATGTTTTCCAGTATTAAAGGATTAAACGCAAATATCAAGACAATCTTTGAAGCTTCCATACTGTTGAGGCGTCATACTCTCATTAACCTTAGTTGCAGATCAACTTCACACTGAATACGTTTACATTAAATGAAGTATTGCAAATGTGTAACTTAGAAATTGATCCATAATCTCAGTAATGTCTAATGAGCATAGTTTTATGAATCCTACAGAAATTACATTCTCATATTTAGGAATCTATAGCCATCAAATATAAGCTGAACATGCTTCAACTCTAAGCAACTATGCACAGTGTTAGCAGCATAGAGAAACACTTAAAATATTGTAAGATACGCAGACCTGTTGCGTCGATGAGGATAACAATGACATATAATGCAACCTAGACATTCGGTTGTGACACTGCATCTGTACTGCTTCATGTTAATGGAAAATTCAGGAAAAATTCATCACCACTACTGGTGATCAAAAACAGTGCAGCATTAAGTTTACAGTGCCAGTGAGAATGGCATAACAGACAGCAGATTGATAGTAATAGAGCTGACCAGATTCAGTTCTCATAATCGACACAATCCATGTGTATAATGATACTATACACTGAATTAATGCACTAAGCGACACAGTAAGGAATTTAAACGAGTGATTGCCTTCTCCACGGCACTGCACTTGCAATAATCATGACAACCACCTACGTTTGCTAGCCAAGCAGTCAGCTA